TGTGTAGGAATACCCCTTCCGATGGTCTATGCCAACTGCACCAGATGTCAGTATATTCACGGGCACTCTCTTCTACGAGGTCAGTATCGACCTAGCCATATTCTAACAGCCCTCCCTTTTTTTGTTGTCAGCTCGAGATACTTGTAAATCGGCGTTGCTCTTATGTCTAAGCACCTGCCTCATATATAGGTCAAGTAAGTAGTTAGGTAGACGAGACGTTCGAAAGACACGACGGTAGTTGTACAATAGCTGCGTCTGATTTAGGCAATTATCTGGGTACAGAGCCAATTACATACCAGAAGTACTTAATAGCACTAATTAGGGCTATAGTTTCAGTAAGTAAGGTACGGGGTATGGACTGACCACGATGGCAGTGGGTACACCTAGGTGTGGGCAGCAAGGAAGTCGCACTAGTGGGCAAAGCAAAACACTTCGGAGCAGGTACGATCCTCGAGTCAAAAACGTAAATGTCTCTTTATCCATGAGTGTAAAATGATAATTATATGAAAAGTTGTCATCGGCTTCGTTAATTGACACCCATCTCACCTTGGGCGAAGCACAATTGCTTGGGAGTTATGTTGACTGCCTGACCTGGAAAGGAGCACAATGACGCGTTTGTAACGCGTCGTCCGCTAACACCTCTCCTAATCTCCGTGGAACGACTTTACTCGGCAGGTGATCACAGTATACCTAGACTATCGTGTAGCAAGATCGAGAATGCCACGGCCGAGAAAGCGGAAACGCTCTGCGTCTGCTGGTGAGCTCCCAGTGGATGGCTCGCCTTTCAAGAAGAAAAAGAGTGGCAGTCAGTATTTGACGAAACCGCGACTTCGACATCCTGTTCTGAGCCAATATTACCCACATGTCCAAAGTCTGCGCGAGTATATCATAACGCAATTGCCACCCTCGTCTAGAATCAGACGGAGAAAGATATCCGCGATTGGCATTGTCAATAAGTCCCATAGCTCGCCCTTGACCGACATAGAGCGATCTCTCGGGGCCTTGCTTGACAACACACTTATTGGTTACCCAAACCCGAAGGCTGAAGAAGGGATCAGTCGTATGGACGGATGGAAGGACTTCTCGCAACGAGGCGACGAGTCGTACGTTACTCTTTCTAATGGTGTTGCCGGCTTTGTTGAGTCGCAGGCCCTGGTAAGCGAGTGTCGATCTTGCCACTGTTCAGTGCAAGAGCTCAACAGTAGAGATCCAGCCCAGACCTCATGAGTGACTAATTATTATCCATTAGATCGTGGAATATGTTGTAAGGACCATATTCAACAGAGACAAGTCTGCCAAGTGGCCTGATCACTTACTATGCGATGGCTTCCGCCGCAATGGAGGTCTGGGGCTGCGAACAGTCCGACCAAACCGCTACGTGGAAGCACTACAACAGCCTCCATGGCCGCAGCTGTTAGCTGTTCTGGGGGAATCGGGAGATCGTATCATGATAGACTTGCTTCTTGATGGTGCTATCTTCGTTTCTGTTGGTTCGGGTACCAACAACCTGTGCCAGATTAGCGGTATGTTGCCTCTATACGCTAGGGCTCCTGACAAGTACTTAAACCAAAGTAGGAAAGCCCTTATCTAATATGACTTTATACCATCCTCCATCATCTGATGAAGGAGCCTCATCAGCTAGAACACTTTCAGAACTTGTTTTTGTGCGAAACCGAATGTTTTATGCAAGACCTGCTCTCAATACTCGAGGCCAAGTTCATTTTGGTCTGAGGCACATCCGTAAGACATGCGAGGTAGTTCCAACAAAACTCAGCTAATTCTATATATAGACGTGCTGAATCGCTGCCCGCTTCGGCAACTTGACGAACAACAAGACGTGGAGATGCGGGCGCATATAAACAAACAGAATGAAGTACATACGCTCAAAGTGATGATGTACATGTTTCCTAAACAATTCGGGCTTCACAATATCTTCACCAGCGAAGTCAACATTAAAGAAACATCGCAGCGGCTGAAGGATTACACCCTGCGAGAGGAGGAGATCCTTGGGAAGTTCGGTCGCCTCGTGGACAATGGTGTCTACGTGAAGATTCCTAAGCGGCTCCGAGGGCAGGTAGGGGACCTGGTCCGAAAGCTTCAGGTTCTTCACCAGCACTGTTCTTATTCTCAGCTTCTCAAATATTACTGTCCAGTATGTCTCATGGACGTCGTTTGTCTAGTAGTTACTGACATGACCAGGTCTCCTTGACTACGGGCGAATCGCAGACTCAGTCAGAATCTGACAAGGGTCGAAGGCAGGCGCGGAAACCAAAGACTAAGACGGGAAAGGGTATGACACAACTTCAGAAAGTGTTTCAGCTCCCACAAATGGATGAGAACTCCTCTGTAACAGAATTGGCGACCTCGTCCACCGGAGTCGCATCATTTTGTCAGGCTGTTCTTAAGAAGATAATTCCGCATGGATTTTGGGGCTGTGGTTCAGCTGCGACCTACAATGAGCTCCGTTTTCTGAAGAAGGTTGCTACGTTTATTTCTCTTAGACGTTTCGAGGCAATGTCCCTCCACGAATTATCTCATGGGATGAAGGTGAACAGAGGGCACCGCGCTATTATTCTACTTGGCTAACAGATAGCAGATAACTAACATTGAATGGCTTGCGCCTCCCCATCTCATGGCTAACAAAACGTCATTGACCGACATGCAGAAACGTTGGGAGCTGTTCACCGAATTCCTTTATTTTCTCTTTGATTCTATTCTTATACCCCTTATTCGGAGCAATTTCTACGTTACGGAGTCAAACACTGATAAGTATCGCATCTTTTTTTTTCGTCATGATATATGGCGGTCCCTTGTGGAACCGGCCATGATAAATTTGAAAGGGAAAAGGCTAGAGGAAATTAGCCTTGCAGAAGCGAGGAGTATACTTGATTCACGCCGCCTTGGATTCAGTCATATCAGGCTACTTCCCAAGGGGATGCAGATGAGGCCAATTACAAATATGCGTCAGAGAATGCCTATCCATGGGAACGCAAAAGAGCTAGGTCCAAGCATCAACAAGGTCCTAGCACCAGCACATACAGCTCTTCAGCTTGAGAAAGTAAGGATCCTAGCCAAAGAGAAAGTGTTGTCACTGACATTCCCAATCTTAGACGATCAATCCAGACAGGATGGGCTCAGCCTTGTTCTCTGTCGGCGATATCTACGAGCGGATCAAAACTTTCAAATCTAGGTTGCCTAATCTGCCGGGACGTCTTTATTTCGCAAAGGTGGACGTACAGGCGGCTTTCGACACGATTCCACAAGCAGCCGTCATTGGCTTACTGAATTCTATACCTCAACAACGTCAGTATAGGGTCTCGAAATACCTCGAGGTAAGCTCCAGCATCGTAGCCCAGGGAAGTGGTCGGATGTGTAAATCAAACCCGGTGAAAAAATGGCCATCAATAGCTGTCAAGAGCGACGATACCTCTACTTTCATTCAACGTCTCGAAAACGGAGAGTGCACGACAAAACGAAATACTGTGTTCGTCGATCTCTACCAGAAGCAATACGAAACAAGTGAGCTGCTTGAGCTGGTAACATCTCATATCCAACAGAATCTTATTAAGATCGGCAAAAAATACTACCGTCAAAAGCAGGGCATTCCCCAGGGATCGGTTTTATCCTCCACACTTTGCAATTACTTCTACGCAGATCTCGAGATCCATGTTCTCTCGTTCCTTAACTCTGATGACTGTCTGCTTCTGCGACTTATCGATGATTTCTTGCTTATTTCCACCGACAGACATAAAGCAGTCCAGCTGGTTGAGATTCTTCACCGTGGCGTGCCTGAATACGGCGTCACTGTGAATTATAAGAAAAGCCTAGTTAATTTCGACCTCGTGGTCGATGGCCAACAGGTTCCCAAGCTAGAAGAAGGCGGAGACTTCCCGTATTGTGGTACTCTAATCAACACGAAGACTCTCGATATCAGCCGCGCTTCGAACCAGAGTCAGGATAAGGGTAAGTCTTACAGCCCCGAGTTTTATTTCAAACTATACTAAATAACTGAAAAATTACAGTGATATATAATTCGCTCACTGTTGAGTATAGTCGGAGGCCCGGCCAAACATTTCAGCGCAAAGTCCTCAGTAAGTGACCGCCTCATTAGCTGCAAAAGGCAGATGCTAATCTTCGTTTCCTTAGATGCATTCAAGATCCAAAGTCACCTAATGTTTTTTGACACAAGGCTAAATTCTGCGGCAATAATGCTAAGCAACATTTACAGGGCCTTCAAGGAGACCGCTACAAAAATGTGGGCGTATGCACGTTGCTTGCCTCCACCGAAGCAACCCCCTTCGGTTTACATAATCAGTAAGCCAATCATCTCGTCCATGCTTCATACATATAAGAAGAGGCAAAAAACATATAGCCTAAATACGATTCTTTTCTGACTTTTATGTAAAGAAACAGTTCAGAAGCTGGCCGACACAGCCTACATACTCCTGGTCAGCAAGGCAAGGAGACGTCGATACCCCGACTACGTGTGTGATGTCAAGAAATGTGAAGTATCCTGGTGAGCACCATCTAGCGGTCCAGGGTACAAGCTGTTGATGCTAACCGTAACCATCAAGGCTAGCGTACAACGCTTTTTATCAGGTGCTTAGTCGTAAGCAGTCTAATTACAGCGAAACTCTAGCCTGGCTGGAGGCAGAGATTATGAAATTGAGCATGCTGAAGGATATTCGGCATGCTCGTGTACAGACTGTCGTGTAGCTATTGCCTGCTGCTGTATATAGTTTTTGAAGAGCAACATGTCTTCCCCCAAGATATATCCACATGCCCTAATGTATTAGAGTAGAACATACAGTCAAGACGCAACTCCAGTATCACTTCAAGCTGTTACATCGAGCATCTGCCCCACCTCCCATGACTAAGTGCAAGATAGTGGGTTTCAAAATAGAGATGCCTGTTGCCTAAATGTATTAAGGGTTCCATGCTATCAAACAGACAACCAATCAAAAAATTAGGCAATGTTACTGAAAAAGTAACAATATGCAAGGTCTCCCTGGGAATCGAACCCAGATTAGCGGAATCAGAATCCGCTGTGATAACCATTACACTAGGAAACCCTCCAAATACATAACTGCATTGGACGTTCGTGCGGTCTAAAATTTCTCAATGGACAGGAGTAAGTCCGTTTGCCCTAGGATTTATACAGACTTAGAATAGCCCTGATCTTCAGAACGCGCACAAAGAGATTGGATTCCTACTACATAGCTCTCCACGTGACGGATTATGGGAGTGATTGAATTCATTCGATGGCTTTTGAATAGTATGGTCGCTTCTTCGTGGTTCGTGTAGGATCAACCTCAATTGCTGGAAACGATGACATGGAATCATGATAATCCTCCAAGATAGACATTAGTTCAACATGTTAGCAGGCGAAAATTTCCGATATATACTGTACGGGCAGGCGGCGGCAACAGGTTCATATATTGTTCATCTTTTGCATTCTGTCCGCTCTGCTGTCGATGTGCTTTTAACAAGGAGTGATTCAGCCTAACAGTGCGTTAAGAACAGTGCAGGGGCATTAGGAATAGTGAATGAGCATCTAGGTGCGGCATACGCGTAGACTCTGACCCTTAATCGACAATATAGCAATGGCAACCAATGAACGATTGCATTCCGAGGACGCAGTATCTGTGATGCAATGTCCAATCCTTCGCTGAGAGAGGCCAATTGACCGCAGCCGGCATCTAACAGCTTTCCAAATATCTTTCAATAAATCTACCCTTCATCATCCTTCGGAAGACCACGATTATATCTCTGTATAATCTTGCTCGGTCAGTAATTTCCATGTTCTGCCTTAGATCACGCCGTCCTCAAATCTGTAGCTACCAGCCAACTCAGGCCAAAAAGATGCATCAGATCGCAAAGGATGTGATTACTCCGATAATCATACATTCTTACTTCTAGTCTTTCCCCTATAATATCATGTCTATCCAATCAACCAGCTCTCAAGCCATGGAGGAGCCACAATGCCCGTCTATATTTTTCCACCTTTAGAATAACAAATGCAATGCCCTGTCCATAATGCTCCTGTTCTTATTCATGCGCCATATTTCCTGTATTCGAAGCGTCATGGGTCGTTCATCTCCCGTGCTTTCTATTACTCTCATAATCTAATCCTTTGAATCAAATCGCGATGCCAGTTTCCCACCATCTGCCTTGAGGATTCCATTGCAATCTAGGCAAGGAATCTCTATCGTACCGCCAAATGCGCCTGTCAAGGCCGAGCCCGGCGGCCCTAGCCAGAGAGATGGGAACAGGCTCCCAAAGCCAGATTCCGCAACGCCCGAAATCGTCCAAGAGCGCCCAGCTAGTAGCCCAGAGCCAGAGGAACGTAAATGTCAAGTTCCCCAGACGCCGAACCCAGCGAGGCAACCCCTCGATCCTGGGCCGCAGGGCTTGAGATAACATAGCTTGCAGCATCGTCCCCAAGCCGGAGAGCGCGAAGAAGAGAGGCGGGCCCCAGTAATGTGTCGTCGGCACCGAGCTGTAGCTGCCAGCGCCGTGGATCAAGCCGGACTGCGTAAAAGCTATTATGGCGCCAACGAGGGCGGTCATTACTTTAGCTCTATTACCAGCTTTATGAGGAGACGGTAAGTAACCGTTGCGAAGCAGCCATTTAGTTGGAGCTGAGAATCCAGGTCGAAATGTCTGGTGCCACCACGCGCCCCAGAAGCCCGTCAGTCCGCGATCCAGCACCTGCGTGAACGAGCCCGTCATAGACGGGAGGTGCCAGGGGTGGGCGCGGAAGCCGAGGATCGGGGGACAGTAGAGGGCGAGAAGCACGGCGCCAAAGTTCCAGGCGTACTGGAGCGCAATGAATACCGCCACGAAGCCGAGCGTTGTGCGCTGGAGGGAGAGGAGCACGGGGTGTAGGGAGGCGAGATGTGTGGGTAAGGGATGGTTGTGCTCTGGGCCGAGTACGAAATACGGATCTGTTGTCATGAGGGCCGCGCAGATGTCGACGATAATGTAGCTTGGCATGAAGTTGAAAACCCAGCGGGAGAGAATCAGCTTTCGGCGCGAGAGAGTCCGCTCGTAGCCCTGCTTCGTCCTGTGCGGACCGTATTCCAGCGGTAGCTGGTACGGTCCGATTGTAGGAGGCGGCTTATATGGAGGCAGACAAGAAGGGGCGGAATCCCAGCCTTAGTAAATATCAGTATGGATGCTTTACACAGAATCGTATGACATTTGATGCGTTGTACTTACCGGTCAGACGAAATGAGCTGACGATGTCGAATGCCCAGCTGAGACGAGTTCGAAACGAAGCGTCGGCCGGATACTCTTGCCAATAATACTCATAATCCTGTTCTCGCGCGAGTCTATATAATTCAAGGGCCGTATTGTGATCCAGTGGTGGATTTTCCTCGCTGTCATTAAGAGCGATTATATCTCTCACGAAATGACTCTCCGGTTCTTGCTCCGTGCTCTGTGAGACCGCATGCATCTCCCTTTTTCTCACTCCATTAGCTATTACTGTCCCATTGCGCTGCGCACTTGTGGTTGAAGGTGCAGCAGCAGAGCCATCTGATATTGACTGGGGCGCAATATCATTAACTTTTTGTCCACCCGCAGCCAGACCATTAAGCTTGTCAACACTCGGTTTAGAGTGACCTCCGTTCTGTGACGAGGCTCGGAAATGATCGGATCTTTGACCGTTTCCCGCCTCATTGATGCGCCGGCTGATCTTCCGCCTTTCCACCCTTTTCGCGTCCCACTGCGGTCTCGTCCATACCAGCAGATAAAAGTTCCAGATGGTCGCCCAAGCAGCTACCAACCCAGCGCCGTAGCTCACGGCAAAATTAAGGCTCTGGACATTCCTGACCACGTACCAATTGAAGGCACAGTTGAAAGCAAGGACCAGCCATCTCGCACGATATAGCCACGGCCTGTTCCTGTGCGGGATGGCGAGGTAGAGCGTCGGGATGATCCAGTAGGCGAGCAGGTGTAGCGGCACGACAAATGGCGTCGTAGTGCCAGCCCGCACGTCGGCGCGAAACCTGGCTCGGTAAAGCTCCCGGTATGCACTTGCTAGGTCCGGCAGGGATGCCGCTTGTTGTGACATGGCGAGAAAGCAGGTTCGAAGCTTGATGCTTGCTTCTCGCGAAGTTCAATAAACTTTAGCAGCGATTTTTGACACAACCTTCCATCGTCAGCCTGCCCCTGCAGTCGTACCTGGTGGCGCTGAGTAGTAGGTGAACTAAAACATATGCAGTCTAGCGAGGGCCAAAAAAGAAGCTCGACGGGAATTACGCAGTTAGGAAAATAGAGAGAAAGAAAAAGCAATAAAGAAGGTAGTGTAAGAGTTAGGGATGCCTGGTGAGACTTGATCGTACAAAAAACGCCATACTATCAGTTGGCCCTATAATCGCCTCCGGGCGGGCATCTTGTGATGACACAGTCCGATCTATGATTGACTGCTCGAACAACGCTAGTGCACGACGGCAATGACGTCAATACTGATTTTTCATGTGTATCATAGATTCTAACAGACTGGAGCAATTTATATGCATTCGATGAATTTGATGTTGACATTTTAAAGGTGAAAAGGAAAGAGGGATAGGTTGCTAAGCCCATGTTGGAAGTTGTGAGAGAGTGACCCCTCTCTGCTCTTTACCATTTCATATAAATAGACACCATACAATTCTCACCATCTCATATAACATCTCATCCAGCTCTCATTATATCCATCTCATTGAAACATCAGTTCGTCAACGTAGAGCCATTATTGGCATATTTATCTAAGCCATCCCAGAAACAACCCGCCTCAGAACCATCGCAATAAGCCACATCACCATCCGCCAGAGCACCCAGCCGACAGAAACAGCTAGTACACCAAGGACCAAGAGCACCGGGTTCCGCAACGCGAAAGCATCTGCCGCTTCCACTCTAAGGAGCTTCTTCTGCTTGGTATGGTAGAACCAAGTGTCCCCTGTTTCTCGTGTTGATCCAGTAGGGACATCCTTCACTCGGACTTCATGACGAGGGGTAGTAGTATATGCCGCCTGTGATACTGGTTGTCCTTGGTAACTGTCCACCCAGTCGTACGGGGAGCCACGCCGCCGATATAAAATCCAGTGCAACCAGGTTCTCTGGCCGCTGTCGCTCGCCTTGCCTTCGGGCTGACGATGGCGCTGCGCTCTGTTGCGGGTGTCTATGAGGTATAGAGATACGAGGAAGACGGTGAAGTTTATGGGTGTTGCGATAGCCTATATGTGGTTGATGTGAGCCAGGAGGCCATACTACCGCATGTTGTGATGTGTGTGGTAAAGAGGGGCTCATCATTCGCGGAGCCATATCCAGCACTAGGCAGCAGGATACTCCATTTCTTATGTGCTTTTATAAGGGAGTGACGGAGGAGGCAATTGAGGAAAATCGTGGAATAAGCAGAAAAGGCTAGTGCAATGAGACTGGTCTGGTCCATGCTCACCTGGTAAATCTTCGACTGCTGTTCTTTGGCTTGGTCAGCCCTTGCCCGTAGAGGCCGGTCTGTTGTAGGTGTAGTAGGATTCATGACTTGATCGACGCGACATGCAGGGGCTTAGAAGCATAGCGACAGGCACCTGTCCTGCGACATAGGTGCTATGAAGAGCTCGGGGGTAAATGTAGACTAATAACCCATATTAACTACGCTGCGAAGATACGAGATGATTGATTATACTGGAAAGGTGAGTGCGAAGGTGGTTGTAAGACATTTGACGTACAGATGGAGACTTTCGATCCGAGAAAGGGAGGATGCAGGACATCTTTGGCGTGGTGTGATCTTCAGGGTCCGCGGTCCACTCGGATACACTATAATATCATACATTATTATCTGACGTGATGTAACCGTCCGATACTCCAGTCGTAGGGCTCCGCCGTTATAACATCATCGCTCTAAGTATCCGGTAACACTCTAACTAGGCCCATCAAACTATTTTATCTGCTCGACGTGTAGACTTTATTACGACATCTTCTGTCAGGTACCAGCCTCTCAAGGGCTCATTTTTGTCTAGCTGATTCTATCCTCTAACCTCGATTCTATCTAGCGAACGCCATAGATTTTTATTTCATAGTATCC